ACGTTAGCCCTCTGGAGGATTTGAACTATTATCTTGAGATCTGACCTGCGGAGCACTAACCACTGTGCTATAGACCCACAGGTCTAATTTGAAAAAGACATTATTTAAAAAATATATTTATAAATATATATATAAATTAAATTTTATAATAAATAATTTATAAGACTTGTGGATCTATAGTGCAATGGTTAGTACTTCACAAATCAGATCACAAGATACTGGTTCAACCCCAGGTAAAGGTGGTTGAACAGAACCTTATAGTATTTGGTACTATAACCTGTTATATATCATTTCTCATGGAAAGCCATTTTATATATTAATCCAGTAGGTGTTGAGATTGTGATCTTCAGAAAAGATGTAGTGATGTGATGATCGTCCAGTTGGCGTTACAATGATTATTGTCAGGTTTGATGATGTTTCCAGTTCTCTATCAATTCCACTTCCTTCCTCTATAGTCCACGAGACTATAAAAGAAATCCAAAAACTGGTCTGGTACTAATTGGAATAGGAAGTAATACACTGATAGACAATAGCAGTCCCTTAAGAACGAACGTGACAGTTTACTAATATATAGAAGTTGTATCTTGCTTGGCATTCATGCCCTTAGATTTGACAACTTATACCAACTAAAAGCCTGTAGAGTGTTTACTGAAAGACTAAAGGAGTTGCACTCCACTTGACCAATTGATCCCAGATTTGACAGCCTAAGCCAACTATAGGAACTACTTTTAAAGTATTTATTAGGAAGTACATATTCATAGCGGATACCCTGAGGAAAACATAAGAGTGACTTGTATTAAGCTTTAGTGGTGAAACAAGAATAGCCTACTTAAGTAGTACAGAAGAACTGACCAAAAACTAGATCATACACCTGTGTGTGAACCTACTCTCAAAGTATTAGTTGGTACTTAGGTAGTAAAGGTGGGGTTGTTAGTCAACTAGTATAGATAGAACTGTTCATGTAATGGTTATTTGTAAATTATATGATTTTCAATAAAATCCTTGTGTGTATCGCACCTTAGCTCTTAAAAAAAAATAAATAAATAAATAATTTATAAAATTAATATATAATAATAAATTTTTAATTAATAATAATTAATTGAAAATATAAATAAAATCTATAAACTAATTATAAGTAAAAGTAATTTTATAATATTTATATATTATATTTATATTTATATTTAATTTAAATAAGTTTTTGTTAAATTGAATATATTAAGAAAACTTTCAAATAAGTTTGATTATTATTATAATTATATCAAAAATACAATTATATTATTATATTATAGTTGTATCATTTATATAAAAAATTATTTAATATAAACATTAAACTTTTAATTGCATCTAACTTAATTTAATAATTTTAATTATATATATATAAACAAATTTAAAATTAATAAAAAATTTTTTTATTATAAAAATATATTATTATATTATAATTTTTGAAAGAAACTTTATAATGGAAATAACAAGTTATATTATATTTACATAAGTTTATCAAATAATTAAAAAAACTATTTTCAAGTTTTTAATAAATCAATTATTTTCTTTTATTACAGTTTATATTACATATCTTATAAAAAAAGCAATATGAAATTTATAGGATAATAATAGATCGTCTAGTCAAAAACCTTTTAACATTATATTTTATTCATTTCAGCTTTAAGAATTTTATTTTGTAAACAATTTATAAATTAAATTATTATTTATAAACAAACATATTTCTCATGAATATAATACTGATGTTAAATAAATATCCATACCAATTATTTAATATATATATACAATGTACACAGTATACAGTATATAAAAGATATACAAATTATAGTTTTGTATGTTCTCTCTGTTTGACAAAAGCTATAACAAAAGATGCATACTGTATACAATATATCTTGTGATGCTTAATTTCATATACAATATCTATACAGTATATGTATTGCATGCAATGTATTATAATATTTCGATCTTTAGATTATTGATTTTTTTTTTCACATATTGTATTTGTTATCATTTAACTTTATAATAATGATAAGAACTATAATGTATCAATTCGATTGTTTGGTTTTCTTAATGTTCATTATATACAGTATATTTAAGCTATTTATAGATGTCACAGGGGAATTCATACCAGCATTCTTATTTATTGACGAATATATTAAATTATTTCACGAACCAAATCAATTTAAATTTTTTTTCTTGCTTAGCATTCATATTAAATCATAGAGCTTCGGTCACTTTATACAAATTTAACATTTCAAAACATGCAATCGATGGTGATGCTATTGTTAAAAAGAAATTGTGAATGAGGATTGATTGATTGGATGCGTTCCGAAACAATCACTAATGATATCATTAGAGGTTGAACAACCAGTTTTTTGTGATCCGGTTTCGCAACAGGACCATTTATATCTTACGGTTTGAGCCGAACTTCCAACGTCGTTGTTTAGTTGGTTCTCTTGCATGGACCATAGGCTAGCATTTGGGATATCAAATTAACCGAAATTTATTGCTGCGAATTTTTAATGCTAACCAATTTCGATATGAATCTTGAAATTTTTGGGGTGTTTAACTTAATATATTTAAACTTACATATCTGCATAACAATAATAATAAAATAAATATTAAAATTTAATTATAGTGATCAACAAATGTTTATGCACAAATATGTATGCGATACACGCACTTCATATTATAAGAATTTACGGGGTTGAAAAGTTTAACAACATTGAAACGACAAAAGGAGTCACCCCAAATCAAACATGAAATTGGCTAGTTGATATTAACTGGAATCGTTAGTGTTTGTCATATTGTATTTATCAACTCTTAGTTCAAAGATGCGGATCTTGCATAAAAATGTTAAGAATGCGCACAGTAAAAAAATGCCAGTTAGAAATTGTAAAGTCAAAAATTCACCCAACGACGTAGAGCCTCAATTGGATCTACAGTACGAATATTTATTGAAATTTTTTTTTTTAATAGTCGTACCACAACAGTTTTATCGAAAGACGAACTACGTATTTTGAAACAATTTTAATATATATTTACAGAGGAGTGAATATAAAATACTTTTGGATAAATCACATTAAAATTATATAATAAAACTTTTGGAAAACAAAGTGTATATGTATATACAATATAAGAATATATAGTGTATAGGGGGATAATAAAAGAATCTATCGAGAAGAGGTTTTTAATTGGTTTTCGCCCAGAATGCTCAACACCTTTAGAGTGGAAATTTTTTCGCAAATCAAATCTATCAAGTCACTAGTGATACCCCAGTAAGCTTTTAGTTTCCAGCATCGCATCGCCTCTTTTGCCCTGACCTCCTGTTCCGATCTTGGTCTAGGGTAGTAGGCGGTCCACTCGGCCCAGGATTCCGAGACCAAATATAATTCCTGCAATCTTTGATTTTGAAATAGAGGAATTATGATATCTTGAAGCATCGCACGTGATACATGACTCAAATCTAACACTAGTGATTCCAAAGTCCTGTTGCATGTCATCAACAAAGAGAAGAGACCTTGAGTGGTGAAATTTTGCTGACAGGTTTTTCCTAACCATAGATATTCCAAGTTACTTGAGGGCAAGTCATCTCCAATGAAATCATTGTCATTCAAGTCCACACCTTCCAAAAGCATTCTTCTCAATTTCGGACAATTTTCAAGTAGGGCGAGAACCGTGTTGCCTGTCAAAGATATAGGATTTATTCCGCCGTGGCCGGCGGAAAATTCAACGAGATCATCTTTGAGGTTTGGGATGACGTGTTCCAGGATACCTTCGTCGGTGAAGTGAGAGCCATTTATGGATAGCGATTGAAGACTTCGAGACTGTTCGCTGATGATTTCCAATAGTTCATCGTTGAAGACAAGATGATCGGAATCCAAGATGAGTTCTTTCAAATCCTTTTTGCATATTAAATCGGCCAATTGCTCGGTGGTCGCCTCCTTACTCAGATGGTAAGCATGACAGAAGGATAGTTTGTCTTCAATGTGCAATCTCGTCAAGTTCGGTAAACAGGATTGGATTATGTCAAGTGTTCTCAATAAACCACCGGATTTCATGTTGGATATCCATACCGGACAAATGGTCACACTCTTCACCATGCACTGGTAGTTGAACATGAGCTTAGAAGGGCATTCTTGTAGGATGGAGAAGATTTTTCGTTGAGCCGGTTCTTCGAGATATAGATGTTTCCATACGTGAGGAATTGCGGCCTTGGCGAACAACAAGCAAACATAGATGAGCTGGGAACCGATAACCTTGGAATCCTGATGCTTGATAGAAAAAGACAAAACGTTCGCAATCACATCGAAAGGAAGTTTTGTCAGAGGAAAAATATTTAGTTTCATATTAGCCATATTTTCATTCCTTCGACGAGGGCAAGGGTAAGTGCTGAGCGGGAAGAATTTTTTTTTATTAGGGGAAAAAATGAAAGGCGAAGTATATATATGCATAATTCTGAACAAATACGTTAAGGAGTAAACAAAAAGTTCGTAAGTAATACGTGCGTACGCCTTTGAAATTTTTGTTTATCGTTACAATAGATTTATAATTCTAACCAAACTCCGATCTTACTGTAAATTATATCATAACGATTTACGGAGTCTAAAAAAGTGATATTTTAAAGCGGAATCACCAGCGAAATTAATCCAGTGAGAAACTTGATTGGTTCGACACCGGTTTGAAATAGGTCTCGTGTCATCGTGTCATATTCATCTTTGTGGTACCAAACATCATTCGTGATTGTGATATATTACGGAAATAAACTGATCCGAAATACAGTATGTAACAATCACAAAAATGTAAACACATAAAATTAAATAAATTATTTTGTACTTGTGACAAATTACAAATTTACACACACACACGCACACACACACAATTAAAACAATTACCGCAGGTGTGTCATGCTTAATAATGAGCGTATGCAATGAAAGCACATACTACAAGAGTGACTTTCCACCTTGATTCCAAGCATTTCCACTATGATCTTCCTTTTCAGGATTTTCGTGGCAAAGGTGATAAGAAGAATGATGATTGTTGATTTACTCGACAGACTAACACGCGCCATTGGAAAAGGAGCCTTGTCAATTAATTGATTAGACCGGAATATCCGCTGTGACGATTATTGACTTTGTTCTCACGTCCGGGTACGCACAACTTTGCTCCGAAATGATATTCGTAAAGAATTCTACTGGGGAAAACGTTTCAGCTCAAAAATTTCTTTTGTTGCATGGTTCATGTTATCCGACATATGTAACACCCAACCACTCACCAAACCAAATGCTTTTGTCACAAATGTTTAATAGTAGTAACTTTGTGAATGTGCACAGGGCATTGGCCAAGCAAATAGTATATATGGTGTGAAGTACGGTGGTCATCTCAATTCTCATCGACAAACGTAGATGTTCACATTACCTTTCTTATTTTCAAACTGTGATTCGCTTGTGTTCAACCCCAACAAAAAAAAAGATGCATGGATTTTTTTAAAAAAATGGATTAATTAAATAAGACCATTATTCCATTAATTTAGTATTATAACACGACATTGGAGACCCGAATTCATGAATTGACAATTGTTGATTTCTCCTGATCATGTATTAACACCGCATAAGCATCCCCGAGTTCTTCTTGAGCCTTCTCCTCCACCCCAACGAGCGTTTGTAATATTAATATCTTGTTTACACAACGATGAGTGACTCTATAGTGCATGCGCACTTGTGACGTTTTTGCTTTCACCATGTCACGTCCTTATGCAGGAGTGCAAAAGATGTGAGGATGTGACGGTAAGGATATATATATTGAAGGAAACGGAGGGGCGACACAAGATTTCCCCGACCGATTTAATTCAAGGGAAAAAAAGAATGAAAAAAAAAGAAGAATGCTCACTTGTAAATTGGCATGTCCTTTGAACATCCATCCGGGTTCGCATTCTTTCTTCATGCAAATTCGCGACCAATACCTGAAATGTCGCTCGTCCTTAATTTGTCATTGGATGTACACTTTCAAGAGACTAAACCTAAATCTTCATCTTCGTCCAAAAAGGTACATTATCAAAATGACATGTTCCAACATCAATCTCTGGGGAGAAAAACTACCAAAGGAAAAAAAATTCGGATTTCCATTCATCTGTCGTCATGCCTATCGTCGAATGCATGTAGCCATTGTTCTTCCCTGATTTCATTACACAAATCTTTCTATTTTGCTCAACTTCTTACGCCCGCCTAGTTGTTTGCTCACCTGTCAGTTTGACCCAAAATGTCACGCATCAATAATTTCTTGAAAAATCGAACCCGCTTATTATACTTTTTATTTTGTTCATCTACATACATTTACCCATTCTAATTCTTATCTTGATCCCATGTATGATGAGTCGAAAAAAAATTTTTTTTTTTCTTTTTTTTTTTAAGTTATCGGCTAAATCAACACCATAACAAATCAGAAACATCCAAGAGTCCATCTCGTTGTTTGTCTCTCTTAAACTCGGCGTCAATACCGGCATACTTATTGATATTTGATCCAACGATCAGGTATCTGAGAGCAACAACCTTTCGGTGGGTCAAATGCATGATCACATTCACCCTAAACATATGTTCCCTCATTTTGAGGTCAATTTCAAGGGTGAAGAAGCATGGCGGTTGTGATTGGTCAGCGAGACACATGTGCCTGTAATACACAACCATTCGAAACCATGAACACGTAGCTGCCGAACGAACGCCCTCATACTACCAAGAAAAGTGGTCAGAATCATCAATCTGTTCACTTTTGTCGTCTTTGAACCTAGCACAGAAGGCAAAAAAATTCCACGCCCCATTCCATTCACCAACAATCTATTGTTCAGTATTCCAGCCTTTGAATAAGATACCATTGTAACATAAGAAACCCGACTCACTGACAAAAACAATATCAAATGACCACCTACGATTTTCAAGAAAGGAGAATAAGTGTAATCGCGTTGTTTTTTCGTCAATAAAAATTTGGTTAATATTGTTGAAAGGAGGCATTTTCCGCATTTTAGGAAATACAAACAATCATTATCTAAGAATGGAAATAGCGAAACATAACAACCGAGAAGATGGTGTTACAATGATTACAGCGATGATAACAAAACTTTAAGGTCGACGGCGGTCAATAAAGAAACATGTTGTTATAAAAGAAGTATGAGTTTCCTTGGTATGGAAAAGTGGCTTAGGTTTCTCCGAAGAATTTCATTCAGGTTCACTTTTTTTTATACGTGTTGTTACTAAACCATATGCAGAGATTAAACTTTAAAATTAGCAGCCAGCACATCGAAAGGTCCGGACGATTCTGAAGAAAATAAAATAATGGCTTCGCATATGCGTGCGAATACAATAAAAAAAATCTCAGATCTTCTGTGCCCAAAATGAAGTGATGTTTGTACGTACGCGTGTGATTAATGAATGAATCGATATACCACGCCACTTATGACAATCGTGCAACAACACCCTTTACTGTTTACACAAGCACAAGATAATAATTGGCAACTATACCTAATTCTCGCAAATTTCAAAGAGGAATTCGGAAAAACAGGTTAGTCTTGGAAAAACGAAAAAATTAAGGTCAGAAATGAAACTCGATTTATGGATTTTTCGTTAAGAGACAAATCATTTTATATCCAATAATAAGTCAAATGAACATTGGATGCTAATTCTGTAGGTCCCAAGATATTGATCAAGTTTTTCCGATGACAACTCGTATCTATCATCTTCCATATCTAAATTACACAAAAATTTTAATAATCTACAAATCATTCCATTTTGAAAAAATTGTTCCGTCCTATCAACGAACGTTATCTCGAGTTCCACCGATTTTTCAAAGGGAATCATCAATAGTGGTGACCTTTAGTCAAAGCGTGGTGTCACGATCTACGTGTGGATCTTACTATGTTACTGAATTCATCTCTCAGATAATATCCGTGTACTTGGGTCTCTTACTATCTAATCGTTGTGTTTGGGAAAAACTCATTGTAATAAATGACATCATAATTACATGCTATCACTGTCACATAGATAACACCCGGAAACTTCCTAGGGCATGCGCGTGATGAAACGGACCTGTCACGAATACGTTCGAGTCTCTCTTCTTCACATAATTGAAAGCGAAGTTCAGCGATCTTGACAAAAGATCGTGTGGTAAACATGCTGGTGTTATACGGTGTTTCCATTATCATATGAAACCATGTCTAAGTTTTATAATGTTATATAAAAAGTACCAATCAAGGTTGACCAATTATTTTTGGTACGTGTTTTTACAAAAAGGATTACACATGAAAAATCGTTATAAATATTTTACTTTGCCATTTATATATTTCCTTTTCGAATGGTGTGGTGGTACAGGAGTATAAAACTCAAACAAGAGTGTATGTGACTGACGATTTCACTTAATCTCATTCAACCATCAATGATCTATCTATTATTTATTTGTCCAGATAAATATTCTGTTAACAAAAGAAGATTCCATATTATTGACTGTATACTATAAAAAAAAAAAAGATTAAAAAAAAGATTGCGACCTATAAAACAAACGCAGTATGTACTTATAATTGTAGATATAATTAATTGTATATGAGAATAGTATTTTAAAATTTGCGTAGAACTTTGTCCATAGAAGAACAAAGTATTTCTTAAAAAAAATTTTGCAAAATATAAACATACTGTATATACTGTGTGTACACTAACAAATTATACTGTACACCTGAATTACAAATAAATATATTATCTTAAAATTAAAGATTTTTTTTTTATATTAATAATTATAAAAAATTTATATTTTATTAAAATTATAAATCATTTTACACAGCATAACTTTTCAAAATAACAAATCAATATACAGTATGGGACACTTGCTTTTGAAAAAAAAATTTTTATTATTTTTATCTATGAGTAAAAAAATTATTAATTAATTATTATAAACTTTATATATAATATATATTTTTAAAAATATAATAAGGAAGTTTATTTAAGAAATTTTTTTAATTTTAATATTATAATTTTATAAAATTTTAATTTAAAATTAAAAAGATTTTA